CCGGCCCTGCTTGCCATCGGCCGCGCTGCAAGAGGGGCTGCGTGGGACCGGGCAGTGCCGGGGGCTGCCGGCACCCCTCTGCCCACTGCGCTTGCCTGCGTGGCGGGGGGTCTGCCTTGCCCATCCTGCTGCCTGCACCGCATGGAGCAGGGTGCCACACAGCTGCTGCAGCTCCAAGGCGCAGCAAGGGTTTTGGAGGGAGCTGCGTGCCCCCTTGCCTGTTGCCTCTGCTGCAGCTGCGCACATCTGGCTCCGTCTTTGCTCAGCTGACACCGGCCCATCGCCGGGCTGTGGGTGGCCGGGGTGGGCTGGAGCCGGACCCCTGGATACCGCTGCCTTGCGGCAGCACTGACCCCACAGCTGGGTGGGATGTGCGGGGCGGAGGGGCAGCCGAGGGGGGGGTTTCGCTCCCCACGCACCTGCTGAGCCGTGCTCCGGGAGCCAGGCCGTGGGACCCTGCGTCAAGGTGGAACTGCAAAGAAGGTTTCCTGCCATGGCTGGCAGTTGGACAAAGCACAGCTCAGCGCCGAGCGGAGCAGCCAGGTCCTGGGCCGGGGCCAAGAGATTGTCTCGGTCCTGCACAGCCGGAGGGCTTTAAAAGGAGAGAAAGAGGAAGGCGAGGAGTGGAAGAGACAAAGGATGCTGTGAGAGCCAAACATGCCATCGTGGGCTGAGTGCTCGGCAGCCACCAATGCCCAACGGCCCCAGCCGCTCGGGGGGCCCACGGGCAGCAACTCCGGATCCCCCCGTTGTTTTGGGGTCATTTCCCGAGGGACCCCGTCCCACCCACCACCTCAGTTCAATTGCAGCAGGGAGGGCCTGGTGCTGGGCAGCACTGGAAGGGCCGCAGGCATCATTGGAGGGGCCGCAGGCACCCCCCCAGGCAGGGACCCAGCAGCTCTGGGTGATGGGGACGTCTTTGGTCCCGCAGGTCCCCGTGCAGCCCTGAGCGGGGCTTGCCAGGGCATCCCCCACAGGGGTTGCAGGATGAGCTCCTGCAGCCTTGTCCCGGGCTTGCTGCTGCCCTCAGGGCTGATGGCTCGGGGTCTTGCTCCGTGTGGGGTCGGTGTGGGGGCCACCCACGTGCTGGCTCTGCGAGTGAAGGGTGCTGATGCCAGCTTTGGGGTATCTCCATCTCCTGGAGTTGCCCACGTGAAGAGGATGCTGTACCGGGAAGAGCAGAGAGGAGCCAGATCTTCCTGCTCCGGGGCCAGCGTCCAGGCAGCACCGTCCTGCAGACCTCCAGGGCTTCGGCTTGATGAAAGGCAGTGCAGCATCCCCAGGGCTCTGCGGGAGGGCCCATCCATGCCCGGGGTACTGGGTCCCCGAGGGGATACAAAGAGGGCACCTGCATGTGCGTGCCCATCCCTTCCCCAGCCCTGCAGTGCGCATTAGCAGCGCTGCTGGAGTCGCTCTGCTTATTATCATATTTAATTGCCCTCCTGGTAACCCCAGGAAATGAGCAGAAGATTGTGATAGCAGCAGTTTCTGATGATGTAAACACGAGCTCCAGCTCTCCCCGCCGCCTTGCCAAGTCAGTCCCAGGGAGAGCAGTGATTTATGGAGACCCCCAGCCCCGCTCCCCCCGCTCCCGGCTGCCTGGGCTGCGAGTTTGATCTAGGACTGTGAATTCAACATAAATCACTTGATTAAAAGCTTTTCTTAATTTAGGAGGGGGGGGAGGGGGAGCAGAGCACAGCTGATCGATTTAATTTACACAGGGAAATAGCAACAAGCATACCCAGGGAGAGCAGTGATTTATGGAGACCCCCAGCCCCGCTCCCCCCGCTCCCGGCTGCCTGGGCTGCGAGTTTGATCTAGGACTGTGAATTCAACATAAATCACTTGATTAAAAGCTTTTCTTAATTTAGGAGGGGGGGGAGGGGGAGCAGAGCACAGCTGATCGATTTAATTTACACAGGGAAATAGCAACAAGCATATGCTTTTAAAAGGGCCGGTGAGGCTGGTGATTGCAGCCGTTTCATCTTAACCATTGAAGTGCTCGCTAAAGGGGCTGGCAGCCTCTTGCCTCCTCCAGGTGAGCCACCACCCGGCACCCCCGCCCGGACCCCGCATGCCCGAGCAGGCTCGGGGGGCCGTGGGGCACAGGATGCCCCCGTGATGCCCCGATTGAGGGTCCTCAGCAGCATCTTTAACCGCCCCGGGGCTTCTCAGGTGATGAAACGCCTTTCACAGGGCCAGTGGTTTCTGGAGGCAGCAGGTCAAGTTTAAATGCGAACAGGCTGGGGCTGGCACCGGCTCCGTCCTGGGAGGAGAAAAGAAGACAGGAAAAGTGGAGAGACCGAACCAGAGCTGCAGTGGTTATGTCAGGAGGGGAGGGCTGCCCGGCCAGACCCCCAGCGCCCCAGCCCCGCCGGGGGCTCACAGGGACGGCGGCACCTTCTGCAGGGTCCTCGCCTGGGGGCCAGCGGGACCCGGTCCGTCAGCGGGCGGGTGGGTCGTCCCCAGGAAGGGACCCACCAGGCGACGCTTTCTGACACTGTCACAGTTGCGCGTGCGTCATTCTGGTAGCAAAAAGGAGGCAAATGGTTTTTGGTTGTTGAATGGGAGAATATTTTTATGGGGAATTTTGAAGCCATGAAAAACAGAGCTCCCACAAAACCAGCCGCCATTCCTCGCTACTCTCTGAACGTTGCCTTCCCACACCGGTCGCTTGGATGAGCTTTAGCACCTGGACCCCTTACAGCCCCTTCCCCATCGCCCACCAGCCCAGAGCATCCCCCCCCACACCCAGGGATGGGGCCACGGCTGTAAAGTCTCGGTTAAAGTCTTTAATAATTACAAGAATTCCAGATTCATTACAGAAGAGTTTACAACAAATAATATTTCTCCATACAAAGGCAAAATAAACTTTCAAGTAATAGCGTCCTGGCTCTGGAGTCTCAACGCCAGTGACAGGGAGGGATGGGGGCACGCGCAGTCCCTTCCCTGGCGGCTGCCCCCGGCCAGGGAAATGCCCCATCCTCCCTGGCACAGCAAACCGGTGCCAGCTCCGCAGAGCAGAGCTTGGGCAGCCAGGCACCGCAACCGCCTCTGGGATGGAGACCGGCGGGCACGGACGGGCAGAGCCGGGGGGGCACAGTGCCCTGGACGAAGATGCTCCCCCGGGCGCCGGTAAGGCACTGGCAGGCATCGTCCGGGGAGTGGGGGCTGCGCAGGGCACGCGTCCCCCGGCCGGGGCGCAGCGGGGCTGGGACCAGGCACTGAGCCGGGCTGGAGGGGTTAGTGCCACACGGTACCGCTCCGGTGTCCCGGTGCCTCGGGGGGGCCGGCATGCAACCGACGTGACACCAGCAGGCTGCGAGAGGCCCACAGGACCCCCGCTTCTTCCCACGGGAGCCAACCGCTGGGACAGGGGCTGCAGCCCCCTCCCCAGGGCACCGTCCCGACCCCTCACCGGCACTGCCTAAAACGCAGGGCACGCCCATGCCCCGGCACCCCACACACCAATATGGTGCCGCGGGCGCTTGGCAAGCAGTGCCCGGCCCCAGCCCCGCCAGAGCCCGGGGGGGTGCAGGGGGACGCAGGGGCCAGGGAAAGGCCAGGCACGTAATGACAACGTATTCCCAAAAGGCATCGACACATTATTATTATTGTTTAATACAACCCCATATTAAACTGAAGCAGCAGCAGCAATTCTTATTGAGGGACCTAAACTGAAATAGGTTTAGAACATAATTTAAAAAAATAAAAACAGCAAAAGTAGCAAAATATATGAACTTTTTTTTTTTTTATAGCAACTGATATCTACCAGCCACTAGTACCTTACTACCAAACTGGTATATCTCTGGTAACAACCCTTTTAAAAAGACATGTAAATATATATTCATATTTATACATATTTTTAGCTATGTACACAGGACTTTCGTTTTTAGCACTGGTGTATTTGGCTGCCTCTACTATCAGTGCTGAGCCATGTATACGCTGCACCTCCCACTTCCAAGGTACCAGGGGTTTGGTCAGCAAAGCCCATCGGTGCTGGCACTGCTGAGCTGCGGGACCAGCCCCAGAGCATCTCGGGCAGCGAGCGCCGCGCCGGCAGGACTCCCGCGCCGGCTGGCCATGCCAGCGAGGCTTCTGGCACACCGATGCTCCTCCCCAGCTCGCGTGGCCGCAGAAACCCGGCGCTGGCCTCGGCTTAGCGAGTTCTCCAAGTCGCAGGTAAGCCCGGCTCTCCATGCCCTGCCAGGACGTGCCATCCCGGGAAGGGTGGCTGGCTCCCTGGCTGGGCGCTGCCCACAGGAGAGGATTTCAGCTTAACCAAGTGGAAATATTCAAGCACAGACTTCATGGAAAAGAGGTTTTTTTAAAAAGAAAAAGGAAACACCAAAAAAACACCAGAACAAAACCTTTGGGCTGCAGAGAGCTCACAACTAAGGCGGCAGGAGAAGCTGGCATGAGAGGTGGGTGGGTTTGGTTACGTGAGATGCTACGGTTGTGTCTCTGAACCCTTTCTGCAATAGCTCAGCATGACCGGGCTGCGCAGGCAGCATCCGCCGGCAGCCCGCGGGCACGGGCACGGCATGGCAGTCCCTGCTGGCAGTGCCACCCTCAGTGTCGCTTCAGTCCGCCGTTGGTGTGCTGAGGGGGGAACTTGGGAAGGCACGGCTCGTCTGGAAGAGGGTCGTGGGAAAAAACAGAGTCCTCTCCTGAGGAGCAGGTGGAGCTGCGGGTGTCCGGGAAGCCGGGAGAATACTGATCCAGCGGCATGGAGAGGTCCAGGTACTCCTGGGAGGGATGAACCCCAAGGATGGGCTCAGGAGGGGACCCGGCATCCCTGCGGGAGCGCCTGCCCCAGGCAGGGTGGGTGCAGGTGGGGGCTCATGGCTGCCACCTCTCCTACCTGGTTGGAGGTCATGGCCACAATCCTATCCAGGTCTTCCACCAGCTGCTTGAAGGTGGGTCTCTGGGAGGGGACGGCGTGCCAGCAATCCCGCATCATCATGTACCTAGGTGGGCAGAGGGGAGGTGAGGGCTGAGCCTGGAGCAAGCGGCTGGGGCTGGGGACCCCCCACCCACGGGAGCAGAGCAGCACCCAGGGACGGCCACCGGCACTCGGGCTGGGATCCGCAGCCAGCAAAGACGCCATTCCAGGGATTTAGGGCTAATCCCCTGCGTGGAAGGAAGGGAACTCCCTGCTCGCCCTCCCGACCGCAGGCGCCGGGACGGGCGCGGGGCTGTCTCGGGAGGAGGATGTATGGGGAGCTAAGCTAGTCCCTGCTCTGGGGTCATCCTGGGATTCACTCCTGCCGAGAAATAACAAAGGGAGATGTTGATTATTGCAAACAGATTGAGCTGATGTTTTTGCAGGGCTGGGAACTGCTGGGAAAGTAACTCTGAACATCTGCCTGTCCTCCCCCCGCCCCCCATGCACCTGCATGCGCCCTGGGCCGGGCGGTCGCACCCAGAGGTTCCCGACCCCGTGCTGCCGCTGCAGCCCCGGCTCCGGGGGCGCAGGGAGGGGAAGCGGTGCCCATCCCCGGCCGGGCGGGGGGTGTTGGGGTGCCAGCGTCCCCCCCTCCTTCCCCGGCCCAGCGCCACACTCACAGCTCGTTGGTGCAGTTGCTGGGCTTGTCCATCCTGTGACCTTCCTTCAGCAGCTTGAAGAGCTCCTCGACTGGCACGCCGGGGTAGGGCGAGCCGCCCAGTGTGAAGATCTCCCATAGCAGCACGCCGAAGGACCACCTGCCCGGGGCAAACACAGGGCAGACGCTGGGGCACCCGGCTCCCGTGGAGCTGACACCCCCATTTCAAAGCTTTGGGTACAGTTAGAAGTTAGTGCTTGTCCCTCCCAGCAAACAAACAGCTTTGATTTGCTCTGCAAGACAAACAAGTCCCATTGCCAAATATAATTTGGATTAAAAATATTTTGTCTGCTGATGCTAATTATATTTTCACTAAATTAAGACGAATCACATCTGGTGCACTTCGCCACGGTGCATGTCGTGTTCACCAGCGGGCGCTGGGCGCTGCTACGCAAGATGCAGCAGGGCGGGAGGAGACCTCAGCAAGATGCTGCGAGATGCAGGCAGCGATGGAGGCAGCAAGAGCGTTGCTGGACGGGGTGGCCAAGAAGGGCCACGTCCCTCAGCTCACAGCAGAGCGCCCAGCAGACAAGCGAGGGTTCCCCCTGTGCTGGCAGTTTTGGCTCCCCGTCCCCCCCCTGACCCAGCACATCGCATGCAAAGCCGGGCAGGGAGCAGGTGTCCCGCAGCCGCTACTCACACGTCGCTCTGATGAGTGTATATTCGGTCGAAGAGAGCCTCTGGGGCCATCCACTTCACCGGCAGGCGACCCTGGGACACAAGAAAGCCCCACATCGGCTCCGTGCCACCAGGGAGTGGGGGGATCTGGGGGGGGCAGCCCTGCACACCCGTGGCATTGCCAGCGCGGGTTGGGGCATGCCCGGCACGGAGTGTGCTGCTGCCCTTGCCCACCCCGGCAAAGACCCTCGCCCACCACTCACGTTTGTCGTCTTCTTGTAGTAATCTATGTGGTGGATGTCACGGGCCAGACCGAAGTCAGCGATCTTCATCACATTGTCCTCAGTCACCAGGACGTTCCTGGCCGCCAGGTCCCTGTGGATGCACTGACCGAGCGCGGGGCCGTCAGGTGGTCCCTGAAGCCCCCAGATGGTTCCCCACGATGAAACAGGCTGGGAGGGAAGGGTGCATCCCCCCGAGCCCAGCCACCGGGCTCACCATCCCACCACGGCCCCCCAGGAGCTCCTCACCTTCTTGGAGGCCAGGTACTCCATGCCCCGGGCCACCTGGTAGGCACAGGAGACCAGGTCCTTGAAGGAGAGCTGCTCCTCGGGGACGCGGGTGGGGTTGTAGCAGTACTCCATGCCGGGGGGCCGCCGGGCTTGCAGATACTCCCGCAGGTTGCCTTTGCTCGCGTACTCCACGATCACATAGAGGGGTCCTGCAGGGACAGCAGAATGAGCAGCTGGACCATGGAGCGGGGGCTCCTGTCCCCGTGGGTGCAGGGTCAGACCCCTCCCAGCGTGTGAACGGCAGCCGGAGGGGCGGCAGAGGGGACGCCCCCTCCCCGCCCACGCGCCCTCACCGTCCTGCGTGCAGGCTCCCAGCAGGTTGATGATGTTCTTGTGCTTGCCAATCATCTTCATCATCTCCATCTCAGAGATGAGGTCAGACAAGTCCTTCTCCGTGGCGTCGGCTAAAGCAGTGGAGAAGGCAGCGGTTGGCGGGGGGGCCAGGCTGGGCTGGGTACCCCCACGTTGCACACACCTGGCCCCAGCCAGGGCTGCGGCATCGTGCCGGGCCCCCCCCCCCCACCCCCCCTCCCACCCCGAGCATCCTCTCCGCCACCTTGGTCACACGGTTTGGCTTGTCCTTGTCGAGGCCGATGGCTTCTGCCAGCACCACCTGCCCGAAGCACCCTTCTCCCAGAGGCTTGCCCAGGATCAGCCTGGCGGGAGGAGAGACCCTGACGCAGGGGCCAGCGGCCGGGGGGGGAAGCAGGTTGGTTGCTGGCGTTGGCAAACGACATCGGCGGTGCCGCCATCCTCACCCAGCTCCCACCCAGGCTGCTCCAGCAGCTCGTCCCTGGGGCAGAGCGCACCCAGCAGGGCTGGGACCTCACCTGTCCCGGGGCAGCTCCCAGCGCGGGTCCTCGGGGAGCTCGTACTCGGAGACGCCGGCCAGCATGGGGGTGCCGCTGGAGGAGAGCCGCGAGGGCCGGACCAGCATCACGCCTGAGTTCATGGAAGAGCTGGAGTCGGCCGACACCTGCAGCGGGGACCGTGGGTTACCTTCACGCAGCGCTGGGTGCCGCGGGTGGCTGCCCTCGCTGGGAGGGAGATGCTGACCAGGAGCCTTCGCACCCCAACCCTTAGCCCCCTTCCCTTGCTGCTCCCCCAGCGCTGCCTGCAGGCATGGGGCCCCGTCAGCGCTGCTTCCACGTTGAACCTGGACTAAATAATTTTTAATTAATTTCCAGCATGCTGATACCACAAAATATACAGCCTGGGAGTCCTCCTGTCTCCTCAGTGTGTAAAATATGCTCTTCTGCTCGAACATCAAATCACTGTAAATCCTTCTGGTCCTCCTCATCACCCTCGCTGAGCCCCGCAGACCAGGGGACGAGGAGGGGCTATGTAGCACCCCCTGCTCGCTGCACTGCCAGTCCAGGGCAGAGCCCGTTGATGGTCCCCACCCCGCGCCACGGACGGGCACAAGGCTGGAGAGGGTGGCACGTGCAGCAGGGCGAGATGGTCCCAGGTCTCCCCCCATACATCCTCATCCAGAAAACTCCCCCCAAAAAGGGCAGGTCCCCCAGAAGGGGCAGTAGGTGCAAACAAACCCCCTCTCTACTTTCTGTTACCTGTCTGCGCAGGGGGATGCTCTTGGCCAGCTTGTGCACGGCCAGCTGGCTGTTGAAGTCTGTCTTCTTGGTGGTGCTCTTCATCTTGTAGATGATGACGGTCACCACCATGCAGGAGATGAGGAACGCCCCAGTGCAGTAAATGATGATCTCCAGGTAGAGGGGGGATGTCATCATGGCTGGGGTGTCTTCAATAGCTGGGTCGGTGTGAACAGGGTGTTAGCACCCGCGAGCCTGCCCGGGGCAAAGGAGCAGAGCGGTGCTGGGGGGAGCCCCCCCGGCTCCTCCCCGTGCCCGATGGGGACACGCTCTGCATCGCCAGAGGCCTCGGTGCAGCGTGCGGCAGGGACTAGGGGGGCTGCCCGCCCAATCCGGCGGGGAAGGCCTGTGCGTACCCCCGGGCTCCTCACCCCTGCAGCTGGGCAATGCCTCTGCCGCATCCGCAGGCACGCGCCTGGGGCAGGATGGGGCCCTGGGCTGGGAAGGGGTCAACTGAGAAAGGTGTGAAGTGGGGGGGACAGTGCCCGTGTCCCCTTGGCCAGGGCTGTGCAGGACAGCAGCGCCAGCTGCGCCGAGGCAGCGGAGCTCTATGGTCAGGGCTGTGCTGGGGATGCTCTCCTCCATCACCCCGCAGGGATGGGGCATCGCGGGCACCCCTGGGGACGGGTCCCCTTCCCAGCTGCTGTGCCCTGCCCACACTCGGAGCTGCAAGTCCCTCGGGGTCCGGGGATTACTCTGAGCACGGTGGGACGGAGGGGGCTGTCCAGCAGTGCCCGGGGCTGTGGGAGTCCAGGCGTTACTGATAATGACCGGGGAGAGCTTGGGGCAGAGCAGCCAGAAGCACCTCCATTGGCAGCGATCTGCCGTGGGACCCCCAGGCTGGTGGGGAGGAAGGTCCCATCCCCGCCATGCCATGGGGCAGACCCTGCTTTGGTGGCCGCCGGTGGCAGAGGAGGTGGCAGTGCCATGAACAGCTCAGAGCAGCTGCAGCCATGTGGCATGGTCCAGCGTGGCCGCAAACCGTGGTGAATCTGGCATGGTGGGAGCTGCCATTGCATCCCCCCTGGCAGCCCCTCCCAAAGAACAGAGCCTCAGAGAGAGGTGTAAGAGGGAGTCAAAGCTTTCTGTCCCACCTCCGAACACACCCGGCTGAAAAAGCACCGGCTGATAACGGGGAAAGTTTTTGGCTGGAAAGCAACCATGCAGCACCCCAAAAACTTTCCCGGCTGCTGTTATCAGGCTTTGGTCCGTGCAGCATTGATGCCCGAGGAGCAGCATCAATGGGGACAGGGGCAGCCGTCCCCGGCAGCGCAGCAGAAGCGACACAGCCCCGGCACGGGTCCCGTGCCACAGGGCAAGGCCAGCTCCCTGGCAGGCAGGCAGGCAGCGCTGCCAGCACCCCCCCAAACCCCGCTGCTGCCTGGGAGCTCCGTGCCCCCCTGTGTGGGCAGCGCTGGCCTTGCCCTGGGACTCGGGACCGTCCTGCTCCAGCGGAGCAGCCCCTGGTTAAGTTCCCCTGGGTATGCATCGCCTGGGCCAGGGAGAGAGCAGGGGGGCAGACCCCAATCGGGGGGTGGAAGGGGGGCACACAGCAGGGGGATGCTTGCCCCGTCTCGCTCCGGCTGCAGAGAGCAGCCCTGCAGCTCTCCTGCTGCACGCTAACCAGCACCGGGTGGGCAGGGGCCAGGAAGCGCTCTCTCCCGGACCGCAATGCATACGTTGGAAAGGAGGGAGGAAAGGGAGAGGAAGAGGACTATATACCTTCGAGAACTGTCAACCATGCAGAGTGATGGGAGATCCCAATAGAATTACCCGCCAAACATGTATACTCCCCAGCATCCTCAAATGAGACATTCCTTAAGTGAAGGACTTCCATTTCTTTGTCTGTTGTGTTAACGCCAGCCGTCTAGAAGGAAAAATGGAAGCAAAAAACGGAGAAGCAAACGACATGAGATCTTCTGGGAAGGAGGCCAGAGAGGAGGGAGAGCCCAGTCTCATTTGCCAGACCCCCGGGGAGCAGACAGAGACCACTGCAGACCTGCTAGAGAGACCCTCAGGATGACCACTCATCCAGGCGGACCTAAGGAGATGCTGGTTAAAAACCCTTCACCAAACTGAGTGTCCTGCCCATCTGAACATGCTGGCAATGGGCTACATGGAAAAATAAACCTCAGGCAGAGCCGGCCGGCTGACTTGCACGACACAGGGAGGCACAAGGACGGAGACAGGAGGACGGAGACAGGAGGGCAGCACAGACGGGGGATGCAGCACCGTGCCGTCCCCAGCCACGCGCAGATGGGGCACCCGGGCTGGGTGCGAAGGCGCGGGCAGCGCCCGCAGGGACCCGGGCTCAGTGGTGCTGGACCCGGTAGGCACCCGGGCAGTCCTGGCACACCGCTTCAGTGTCTGCGTGACGGGGTGGGAAGCGCACAGAAGAAACATCGGGACGCACACATACACAGAGCACAAAACTTAGCCGGCCCCGCTGAGTATTTTTCCATGGCTTGTCGCACCAGAAACACAGCAGAAACAAGAGAGCCCAGAGTTTTGTTTTCCACCGCCGGGGACTGACGGTCCGAGGAAACACCCCGCCGGGCATTCTTCCGATTACCTTTTGCCAGAGGTCTGGTGACAGTGAGCCACGCAGACTGGTTGGCCTCGCCAATATAATTGGAAACCTTACAAACATACTCCCCGCTCTCCGCCTCTGTCACATTATACAGGGTCAGCACCTCCGCATCAGAGCTATTAATCCCCGAGTGCTGGAACAGACCAACAACATGGAGTCACATTGACGCAGTCAGAAACGGCAGCGCCCGGAGCATCAGCACCGGCTCTGCCGGCGTGGGGGCTGCTCCCCCCCGGTACCCACTGCCGGGAGGGAGGGATGGGGCTGCTCACAGGGGGGTCACGGGAGGCAGGGGCAGTCATGGGGCTGTAATCCTGCTCCTCCCCAGCAACTCGGCTAGGGGCACGGCTGGGGATGGCTGTGCACCCCGGGGGCCAGGGGCATAGCTGGGGACGGCTGCGCGCCCCGGGGGTTTGCATAGCAGCTGGTTCGCTTGCTGTGAGCAGGACCACTGGCACGTAGAGGGAGCTGCTCTCGCTGGGACGTATCAGGGGCTCAGCTCCCCACCTCCAGCACCGTGCTTGCTCCCCGGGCTAGCCCACCCAGCCCCACAGCATATGCCTTTAGGGCTTCGAAAGGATTGCATTGCCTGTATGCGGCCGAGGAGCCGGGGCAGCCCTCCCTGCCCACCTCTCACCCCGTGCTCCTCCAGGGCACCCTTGTGTGGAGCGGGGCAGGCTGGGCTGCCTCGAGGCCGCTCGGCTGCCAGCCAGTGGTCCCCAGCCCCAGGCAGCTCCTCTCGCCCGCCAGGCAGTGCGGCTGCCATCCCACATGGCTGCCCCTGCCCCGCTCCTGCCCCACGGGACAGGCAAGCCTGCAGGGACAGGGGCTGGGGCAGCCCGGCGTGTGGCTTTACCTTCAGGATCTGCACGTAGGGCAGGTTGTCGGGGCCGATCTTGCTGCCGTTCACCTCGATGTGCTTCAGCCACTGGATGTGGGGCTGGGGGTCACTGTAGACCTTGCAGACAAACTCCACGTTGCTGCCTAGGGCCACCGTCTTGTTGGCAGGCAGCCCTGCCTGCAGGATGGGCCGGTGCGGGGACCGCTCTGCAGGACCCGGGGAGACAGGGCACCTTATGACAGGACTCGGGGTGCTCGGCCACCCGCCCATGGGGAAGCACCTGCCTTGCGCAGGGGTGCACCCTGCAGCCCCCCCATGCATGAGGACCCCCAGCTGGGGTGGGCACCGATGTACCCGGCAGAGCCGTGGCGTCCCCTTCCCCAGCGTCCCCCCCGCAGTGGGGTGAGAGCAGCCAGGAGGGGCTGGGGCTGGGGCCAGGTGAAATCCCGGTGCGGGGACGTCAGTACCTATTCAGGGGGGTCAGAGGTCAAACAAACCTAACGAGGGCCCCGGCCGTTAACAAAGCGGCTGCCACTGTGGTGAGTCAGCATTAACAAACCCCTTTGTTCACCTCGCTGACTGTTCCCTTCAGTTTGCTCAGTGTAATCAAATTAAATCACATTTTTAATGGTTCATTTACTGGCATTTAGAGCAGCTCCACATGTGGAACTGCTCAGACCAGCCTTCCCAGCTGGGAATTATGGCTAATAAGGTGATTAGAAAAAGTTTCTGTCTGGTCTATGAAATTATTTCCAGCACAATCAAAAATCCCCAGAACAGGTTGAGGTGAACCCTCCTCCTCACCTGCTCGCAGACCCGCTGCGCTGCAGAGATGTGCACCGGGGTGGGCGGCTGTGGGGACAGCGAGTGTGCCCCGTCCCCGTGAGCACTCCCCATCCCCACCTTTGTAGGGTGCAGCACCCATTTCTGCTCAGGGAGGGTGGGGTGGACGGGGACCCAGGGTAAGCCCTCCCAGCCCTGCGCTCCTCACCCACGACATCCAGCTGGTAGGTGTGGTTGATGCTCCCGTATTTGTTCTCCACGATGCACGTGTAGTTGCCCTTATCAGACGGCACCACCGAGTCCATGATGATGCTCCAGGTCGCGTAGCGGACCTGGGGGCACGGGGATGATGACAGAGCCGGTTATGTGCAAAGCGCTGGTGGGCTGGAGCACTCGAGCCCTCGTTCCCATTCACGTCAGAGCTGGCTCAGCCCCTCGGCAACTGCCATACAGGCAGGACATAAATCTCCCTTTGAGGTCACCTTTCCCCTTTCCTACAGAGGGACTGTAATTGCTCCCAGCTGTCCCAGGACAGCCTCGCCACTGAGCCAACTGCGCCGAGAAGCAGATGTTGTGAGCCGAGCATGATGGGCTCGCCCGGCGTGCAGGGTCACCCCTCTCCGGCAGCCCCAGTGTGTGGAGGGAACAGACCGGCATTGTTCCCGCAGCCCGGGAAGAGCCGCTTCCCCCGGCTGGCCCTGGGGCTCGGACCTGTGCTGCTCCCCACAGCCAGCCCCGCCGGTGAGAGGGCACCGTGCCGGTCAGTGGGCAGGGTGCAGCCTGGGCGTTTTACACCGTGCACGCGGGACACCTCTGTGGGTGCTGCTGACCAGGCACGTTTCCTCTGGGATGGGTCACGGTGGCTCAGCTGGGCTGCGAGTGCTCCCCAGGTTCCTCCCGGCCACGGGGCACAGGGATGGTTTTCCTACGCCCAGCCGCTGCCGGCTCTGACTGCGGCTCCTCCTGGCAGGACCTCCCCAAGCCCTGCTCCCTGCCGGGGCGGCTGCATTCCTCCCTCCCAGCTGGAAACTGGTTATTTCAGTCCCGCATTTCAGCCCCACTAGCTATCCAGGGCACCGCGCTGTCACCGTCTGGGGAGCCACGGCACTGCCAGCAGCCCCTCTCCTCCCCTCCTGTAAGCCTGCGTGTGTCCCCCGGGATGTGCTACACGGAGCTGACAGCCGTGACGTGG